TAGTTTTTATTTCCCTGATTGAGCATAAAGCCTTGTGTATGTGTAGGGCTTCATGGCTCTAAAGGAATTAAAGATTAATAGCATTTATTTAGGATTGTATGTTCAAATACTGAGTGTAGTTATATCAGCCATTTAATAGTAAACAGTAAAGGCTATTTAGAGAAAGGGATTAAATGACATATTTTCTATTTTCCATTCTACGTTTGGTGTAACTGTGCAGTTGTTGATGTTATGTGTAGATAACATCAATATCTGTGTAGATGTTGTTATTGATATTGTAAAATGTACACAGTCATTTTAATTTATTTTGTTGTATTTGTGAGTTCATTTTATTAAGATTATATCACTATACAATCACATTGTAAAGTATTTTCAAGCCTTTATATTAAAACCTACTGGCTGGTTGTGACTTTACTGACATAATTCATAACATTTAGTGACATCGTTTTAATAAAATAAACTTACAAATACAATAAAATACATTTAAATGACTGTGTGCCTTTAACAATATCAATAACACTCTATAACATCAATATAAAATGGATTCCTTACAATAAAGATGTCCTTTCTTGTTGTTATTGTTTTATAAGAGAATAATTAATGTATAATTGATCCTCTGCTGCCACCCGTAGGAATCTCACAGTAACAGCAAGCTGTCTTATTACAGTAAAGCATGAATAACCAGCTTTTACCTGTTAAATGGCTGATATAACGACACTCACCTTTACAAAGTATTTGAAAATAAAAAATACTAAAAATGAAAATACAATAAAATAGCATCATATGTGGAATTTCCTTAAGTCTACCTGAACAAGCAGTAAAGGGAATCAGTGCGTGTGGTTCTTCTTTACAGATTGATTACAGTTCACATTTACTGGCTATGAAAACTACAGGGTGCAGATCATTATCAGACGTCACCAGGTGTTCATACACCCAGTGTCACATGGTTTAAAGAATCTATCTAATGTTCTAATGTTTTTGCAGTTTGACACATATTAGGGACTAAAGGCTGGGCTATGCTTGCAAAACAACATTAGCACAATCAAAAGTAAAAATCTCTAAGCTGCTCTGAGCATCTACACTCGAAGGGAGGGGCGACAAGCTGATCGTCACACAGAGATGCAAAATGTTTGATATTGCAACAGCAAAAAAGTTAATTAATTAATGGATTTGGTCACACCTCCTATTATTTATTTCTTGTATATGGGGCACAGTCACGCTCCAAGTTGTGGAACTATACAGTTCCTATAATTTGGCAGCTTTGGGGGACGTAAACAAAAAAAAATAATGTTGGCATGGATTCAGTGAATTATGCGGTGGGTTACAACTTGTACCTATATATTTTTATTTACATTTTGGTAAATTGGCACCATTGAAGGTATGCTGAGTTAGCCATTAGCAGCTCCTGTAAAGATAAATATTAAGGCCAAAGTTGACACTGACAGACAAAGTGTAAACACCACTGGGTCAAGTTCGAGTTGGACTACAGGCCAACAGTGTGTCTGGTTAATGGTAAAAGCATCCAAACTTAGTTAAATATTATGTGGTTCTAAGATATTTACTGACTTTACAACCTGAAAACAAATATTATAAAATCCTGAGGCTTCAAGGGATAGACTGGTTGCGTCTTTCATATCATGGCATAAGAATGCATTTTCAGATTAATTAAATTAATTGTAGATTGCAGCCTTGGTTGACCTTACTATTGCAATTGTGACAAAAAGATGTACAGTGAAAATAAAATGTCAGAAAATGAAAAAGGATCCTTACAGTTTCCTAAAGCTCAAGACGACTTTGTCAAACTGCTTGTTTTGAAGAAACCAGCTACATTTAATCTCTGAGAAGCTGGAACCAGTTCTGGTGTTTGTTTAATAAAAAACTAAAACTGAAACAATTAATCACCCAGCAAAATCAACTCATCAACTAAGCTGTACCAGAGCGCCACCTGAGGTTTCTTAAAAGGAAGTTTCTCCTTGCCAGTTGTCAAGTGCCTACTCATGGTGGGAATTGTTGAGTCTCTAAATAATTTCAAAAAACAGTCGAAACCTGCTCTATTTGAAGTGTCCTGAGGTAACTTCTGTCGGGGCTATACAAATAAAACTGAACTGACAACTGAATCGAATTGAAAGAAATCCCCGATATAACTACTACTTTTTTTAGATTTTGCTTCACAACAAGATTTACTGGAGAGGCTCAGCTCTCACAACAAATCAGTGAGTCCTTCTTAGTTTGCCATAAGGTGATAAGATTTATTAAAATGATTTAAAGCAATATATAAAAACATTCATAATGTATGCACAGCATATCTCATTAATGTAATATAAAATAGTTCAAAATATAAAAACACAGACGCACTGAAATCCTACAAATCCCAGAGAGAGAAAACAGAACACAGGTTGACATAAGCTTTGTATAAACCTCATCCAACACTCACATCGGGCTTATTAACGTATCTCTCATTCAAGGTATCATTTAAAAAATGTGGGCAGAGAAACAACTTTTGACCTTAAGACATTTTCTTCAAAGTGCAAAGAAATACCTGAACACTCTTGAATATTAGCTTTCATCAGTCGACACTGAGAAGCAAAACCAGAAATGTTTGTTAAAAGTGAAATATCACCATAAACACACCTTCCTACAAAAAAAAGGCACTTTCTAAACACATTTTTATCTATCAAGGCTGTATTTATCAACCCCCCTGAAATGTGAAAAGGAGAATGAGAGGCCAAAAGAAACAAGCCAATATTTATGCCAGAGGTGAGAGATGATCTAGACCGGGACAGAGAGGTACAAAATGTAACCGGAGTGTCTTTTACACTGGAACAAACACTAAACACACAAACACACCGCAAGCAGCTACGAAGGCAAAAGTTCTACATCATGTAAACTTTATACACTGTATTAAAGGCACTATTTGGTAAGCCAACAGAAACGGTCACGTCAGTTTTAGGCTCGTTTCCCTACTTCACAGTGTTATTTTTGTTGGTAGAACGGACTATCAAAGCCGCTGTCCTGCTGGCGCTGTCTCAACTCAGAGAACGGAGGCCTGGAACAAACTCCATGCTGCTTCTCAGCCTCAGAGCCGGGGGTGGGCTCTCTGTGCGTGCTCACCTTTGCATGGTTCAAGGTCTGGGTGTGAGGTGTCTTTTTGGCAATTTCATTATAAACAGTCATGTCAGAAAGATCCGGGGTGAGGCCACCAAACTCTCCTAAGTCGCTGGTTGATGCAGCAGAGATAGAAAACGGCTTCACTGGTTCTACTTTCCTTCCCGAGTAGGAGTGTCTGGAAACCTGGAAGCCCGTGTCCGAGTCACTACTGGTCATGCTCCAGTCGGTCCGTTTCTCGTCTCTGACAGGAGCCTCCTGGACGAGGACGAAGGGTTTGTTCTGTCGTTCTGAGTCGGGGCGGTTGTTTGCTTTGCTGGAGTCAGCTCCCTGCAGGTACAGCTCCCTACTTTTACTCCTCACAGACACACTGACAAAATCCACCTGGGATGGAGGAGCCCCCTGTTGGGAAGGTTTGTTAGAGCGGAGGTGTGTGTGAGCAGCAGTTTGGGGTTTCAGTCCTGCATCTACGGAGGCCTCCTCTTTCCCAGAAGAGCAAATGTCCTGGTGACTTAAAGGGTTAGTCCTTCCTGCAGCCGTTTCTTTCTGTTCTGAATCAGCAGAAGTCTTCCCCCTGAGGGATCTGTCCTCTGGCCTGATGTCAGGAAGCTCCATTAGTGTTGGCAGGTTCTTACTGAAACCTGCGTGCATTCCTGGAGCGCAGTCAGCTGTGGACACTGCTGTAAAACAACCTGTCAATACAAAAAAATACCAATTGATATTTTGAAACAGGCAAACAATCTACAATAAAGCAGTTGTGCACAATAGGACTCACTTTGTAAACCGTAGTTCTTTTCAGATTTACTTTTGATTGGCGTCTCCAGCACTTTTGCCATGGCCGCTAGCTTGCTTGCAGCATTCATTATTTTCTTTTCAGCCCTGCTAAAGACAGGAAGATCAATACAATTAGCCCGAGGAGCCATGATGAAGCAAGCAAACAAGTTGAGGACAATTATGGCCTCTTACCCTGTAGTCTTTCCTCCATCCTCCAGTAACTCCTGCAGACAGGTCAG